ATGGCGATATGTTCCGACGAGTTGATCGTTGTGCTGCCGCTCATGGTTGCGCTCTTCTGCGGGCGCGTGCGCAGCTGCTGTTGTGACTGTGACTTGCTTGCAGTGGTTGTGGCGGTGGTGGAGAGATTGGGAGTGCTCTTCGAGTCATTGTAGGCGTTGCTGGTGTTGTTAGTAGGCGTGTGAGGCGGTGGCGGCGCGCTGGCCGCTGTGCTGGCGGTATTGGGCGCAGAGGCTGCGGGCACTGTGGGGTTCAGATTTTCTTTGCGCTTGTCGTAGCAGTAGTTGATCCAGCTGAGGTAGACGTAGCAGAAACTGGAGCGCGTGATGCCAACAGCGCGGAAATCGAAGTCCTCATCGAGATTGTAGTTAAAAATGGGATCGAGATCGACAAACTGGCGGCTAAGTGTGTGCTGCAGAGCCTCCTGGATGGGCGCTGAGGCAAGCCACTGCTCGAGCTTGGGATTCTTGATGACGTAGTAAATGATGCTCTGGAAAATATTCATAAGTTGATGTTCCATTTTTTTTTAAAGCTTGCCAACCATGCTTACCTTTATGTAGTAGGTGATGAGCACCTTACGGTATTCAAAGACCTGCAGCGTAGCGCTCGCCAAGTTATCCGATATCGAGTAGCCCTCCAGCACATACTGCGCCGCCACCACCTGCCAGGCCAGCCAGCGTGTGGAGAACATCGCATTCACGCTCAGCATGCGCGGCAAGTGACCCGGATCACAGCAGCAGCATCCGTCGTTGTCCTCCACATCCTCGGTGATGGCCTCCACCTCACGCTGCTGACAGTATGTGCCACGAAATTCCAAGCCGCGCATTTGAAAGGTACACAGCCCATTGCCCAGCTCGATAATGTGCACCAGGCAGTTAAGGTAGTCCGAGGCGAGTACTAGAGAAAGAAACCAAGTTTACAGATTAACTCCGCAAAATACTTAAATGCGTCCAGAAAGCTTACCGAAACAGTCGCCTTGATTGACATTGCCCCAACGACCCATTAGCAGATCGCCGCACAGCGAGTGCTGTAGTGAGCGCGTCAAATGCTCATAAAAAATGCTGTTCAAGTTGTTATCGTCCGCGCCCAAATCGCGCTCCAGCTGTGAGCTCAAGCGCGTATTGGAATGATCGATGCGGCGAGTATTGTAGTCGCGCTCCCAGAATTTGATCGGACGCACGTAGGAGGTGAGAAAGATGGCGCTGCCGAGGAAGGGATTGAGTGGCGTGGAGAGTATGGCCGAGACGCCGGCCTGCAGGAAGAGCATGGCAGAGTGTGGAACGCTGAATGGCTGGGCGAAAGCGTGGAAGGCCGAGCCCCAGGTTATTTGCCAGGGCGCGATGTAGGTAACGATGAATTGTAGCTAAACGTCGAGAGAAAAAGAAAAGAGGGAGTAAAAAAAAGTGACTAGGAATTGGCGCTTACCTTTAGCAGAAAATCACAGCATTTGCGGAAGGCTAGCGACATAAAGAAGTAATCGATCAGGAACGTTTCGCTTGCAAAGGCAAAATCGTACCGAAAGAACAACACGGTGAACATCACAATCAGATACTGGTTTGTGGGATCCGAATAAGCGTTGCGCATCACTACAAGGAGAGAGAATGTAATAAACAAAATTTTCGAACCCCCTGACACTCACGTTTCAGAGCACAAACCGCCACCACTAGCGTGCCCCAAGCAATGCCGAATTTGTTGACAACGATCTGGGCGTCCGCAGTCACCGCCGAGATAGCCAGCAACGGAAACATTACATTCCGCTCCAGCATGCACAGGTAGATGTACACCTTCTCAAACCACATCACCTTCGGCGCGTGCGATACCTCGAACTGGCCGTACTCCTTCTGCCGCAGTATGGGGCGCGCGAAGCATAGCCATGGCATATGTTTGCGCATCTGCGGGATGATGTAGTGCAGCAGCAGGCCCAGGCCGCCTGTGAACGCATACAGCACAATGTTGAGATCAGGCTGCAGCACTGTGAAGACGGTACTGCAATGCAGGCCGAAGACGATGGCCGCTAGCAGCGTTGTCACCACCAGATCATTCTTGAGGCGCATATTCACGGTAGCCTGCAGCTTCTTGGGTAGTGGATCGGGCGAATCGCTATCATTGTCTGCACCGCTCGCATTGGCGGCGCTGGCTGCCAATGCGCCCGTATCCACGTCGGCGCACACGCCACCAGCGGTGAGTGTGGACATGTCGCCCGGATTGGTGGTCGAAGAGCTGGACATTTTGTCATCCTCATCAGCTGCTGGGGGTGCGATCTCCTCAGCCTCCATGTCGGCTGTGGAGGAAATGGCAACCTGTGCTGGCTGTGTTGGAGGGGCCTCCACTGAAGTTGTTAGTGTGTGCTGCTGCACTCGTTCCTTGGAACCGCCGTGGCCAATAGGCGCGTTGGTAGGCGTAGTTGCTGCGGTCTCCGTTCCTAAATCCAGATTCTCATTTTCCAGTAATTGCACGCCGCTTGCATTTTCTGTACACGTTGCGCCATTATGTGCGCTTTCCATGCCGGTCGCGCTACCATTCGCCACTGAGATATAAGAGTTCGAAGTGGTCATGCCCTTTTTGTTGCTAGACAGGGTTTTTGCAAGCGTTTGACTGCTGCTCGCCAGCGAAGACGCCTTCGATTTGCTGCTCTTGCGCTCTATTTCGAGATTTGTGCGATCGATCTCCGCGCGCTCACTACCTTCAGCCGCCATCTTATCGTCTATCGCGGACATTTCAATTTGTTCCTGGCGCGCGCTCGTGCTTTTCGTGCGTCCTTTGAGCGTGGTGTTTGTGGTGAGTTTTTGGCTACTCGCTACGCTGCCATTAATGGTAGCGGCGCTCAGCTCATCGTCATCGTCGTCATCGTGGTAGGTGCTGACAATGCAGTTCTTAATGAGCGCCCACAGGTGGCTGAAGTCGCTGGCGGACCGCGAGAGGTGGTAGCCCAGCGGCACGAGTATGGCGCAGAATAGGGAGAAAACAATGAATTGGGTGCCGCGACCCTCGGCCAGCGCGCTGTACAGTGGCCCGTAGAGCAGCATGACGCCAAGAATGGAGCGCAGTACGCAGAGAAATGAGCCTGTGGGTGGGGAGAAGAAACCACAAGATTAAGAAAAAATTCAAACAGGACGTTTCACCCAAGTAACTCACCTAAGAGACTGCCAGCGGCATTGCCGCCGAAGACGTGCATGTCGATTTGCTCCAGCAGATACATCAGAAACGTGTTTATCTGCGGACACAGCCCCAGCGAGAAGATTATCGGGAAGCATAGTAGGAAGACGTACATTATTTGGAGTACAGTTGCGGTCAACAACAGCGGCGAATAGCGGATACCGAAAAAGTTCAACTCTTCCGGCGGTGCGCGCTGCTGCTCGTACTCACGCTTGAGCCGCTCGCAAAGCAACAGTATCCCACTACAAATGCAGAAGTAGATGGCGCGCGAATAGGCCACCGTCTTGTTGAAGCCGTGTATGGGCGACGCCGCGTCTGGCTGAACGCTCTTCACCAATGAGTACTGCGCGCTCGCTATGACGGCACAGAAGAGAAAGGCACACAGGTCCTTGTAGTAGCCCAGTTGGAGTATGGTGGCGCCGAGGTAGGCGACCGCCGCGCACAACAACACCGCCAACACTATGTGCAGCCAGTGCAGATCGCGGTCGAAGAGCGCCAGCAGCTCCAGGCGGTCCATTGAGATTTTGAATTCGTGCTCGTAGCCGCAACATTTGAAGCGGTACTTGTAGTAGCTCTTCGGCGCCACCGGCTTTTCGGTCGATAGCATGCAGGCGGGGCGCCAGTAGTCGCAGTAGCTTTCAATGTGATGCCCATCCATGTTGAGTATGGCCGCGCCTGCTCCAGTGGTGTTGCTGCCACTGCCCGAGCGCGCCTGCGATGATCGCTGTTGGCCCTCGTCGTTTAGTACGTTGATGAGCCCTTGTATGGAGAGTCCCGCACCGTTGTAGACAGTGCGCGCGTTTAATGATGACGAAGCGACCACGACTCCGAGCGGCGGGTGCAGATTGCGAATGGGCGCCGTCGTTGCGCCTGATTGGCTGCTCAGCTGTGCCGATTGCAGTTCATGCGCGTGCGAGTAGTCGCCGATAGAGGAGTTGCCAGGCTCTGATATTTGCTTCGAGTTGCGCCGCACCTTGTCGCGATAGTACGTGCGGTCCGCCACCGAGAGGCCGTCTGTGGAGGTGGCAGGGTAAGTATTGAGCGCCTGTATTGCGTCCTGGTAGAACTGGAAGTGCGCGCTGGACATGTTGCCGGGCGCGGTAGCACCGAAGCCGATTGCGCTTGTGTTTGACGCGCCTGCTATGCCTCCGATAGCTGGAGTTATGCCCTGCTGTGCGCCCTCAGAGCGGCCGTGTTCGGTCATCAGCCAGAGCATTTTGTGAATGTCCGCCGAGAACGAGTCGGCACTGATGCTGCGCGACGACGTAGAGGATGAGGTGCGCGAGGCCGCTTTTGAAGTGGTGCTATGCTGCGAATTGAATGGCACCAGCGACATTTCTGTGCTCGTAGAGGCACCGCCGCCACTGCCGACGCGACGTTTGTGAAGTTGAGAGCCGCCAGTGTTGCCATGCATTGTCTCGTTCACCTCGCGATATTTTACGACCTTTGGTATTGCACCCAGATTTTTGCCATTGCCGGTGCCCCCTCCTATGTTTGGTGTCTGCTTTCTGCCGCACTCCAGGCCTTCTTCCAGATCTTTCTTCGTCTTTAGCGCGTCCACCTTCACCTTCGGCGATGTGACGCTTACTGCCGCCTCCATGCCCGAGAGCAGCATGTCCTTCGAGCTGGCGCTCACTTGCTCACAGTCGCTAGATGGGCAGCCGGAATCGCCTTCGCCGCGCGCGGCATGCTGCGGCCGCATCCCGTAAGCGTGTTGAGGGGCGCCGATTCCTACACTGACGTGTTGACTAGCCAAATTTTTGTGCTTCTGCAGCGCCGCTATTTCCATGTACATGTCCTGCTCAGCAGCCTTGACTTTGGCATTAGTTTGCTGCCAGGATTTACCACTGAGCAGCGGCGAGCGTGAGCCGTTGTTGTCCGTCTCCGAATCAGTGGAATGTAGGCGTTGACGTAAGGACTGCGAGGTTGACGGCTTTTCATCGTCCTGCGCATGTGTGACGGCCGCGCGTGCGGGTGGCGAACGCACTGGCTGCCGCTGCTTTGTCGCAGGCTCATCGATGTCGTCCTCGCTGTCGGGCGCATAGACATGTGCCTTCCGGTTGTTCTCCGCCGCAGAGCGTTTCAAATCCTGCTGGATTTGCTCCAGGCCGTTGAGTATGTGATCGAAGTCGTCAGTAAAATCCGTCTTTGGCTGGTTTACAGGCTGCGCTTCGCAAACTGAAGGTTTTATTTCTATGCTGAGCGCGTGCTCCAAGTCGTCATCGAAGTCCTTGAACTCGTCATCCTCGTCGTTATCTACCTCATCGTCATCATCATCTGCCAGTATATTTCCGACGTCAGACTCTGCGCTGTGATGATGACAGCCCAACGCTTTGCGTCTGTGACGTATTGGTACATCGTCCACCACGTCATCGACGTTGTCATCGTCCAGCTCTATGCCCTCGTTTTCCTCATGACCATCCTCAATGTCTGCCTCGTCCTCGTCCTCCTCATTTTCAAGGCCACCACATTCAACCAGCTCGGCATCGTTGAGCTCCAGCGCGCACTCACTGCGTTGGGGCTCCACATCTAGCGACGAGGCGCGCTCGTCCGACTGCTCTACGATAGGCGACACCGGCTCAATGAGCGCCGTGGTAGAACCGCTTGTGCCGAAATTTAAACTGCTACTGCCACCGCTGCTGCTGCTGGCGCCACCAAAGCTGCCGCCGAATTTTGGACACAGATTCAAATGCGGGTTGCGCACCAAACACTTGCTGGGCGGCGGCAAGAGTGCCGACTGCGGGTTCTTTATCATTTGCTCTCCATTTATCGCCTCCACGCTGTTCGGGTGTGGGCTTAGGTTCGATACGGAGGGGCGCGGGCAGGAGATTTCGAGTGCGGCACTTTTAATTCGACGCACCGTCGGCTGCTGACCCGAAGAAAGCGCTGCGGCGGCTAAAGCGCCGGATAGCGTATGATTCGGACCACCCCCACCACTACCTACGCCACTTTTGTACAGGGTAGTCGCGTTGGAATGTCGTCGTCTTTTCATACCGCTGCCGCTGCCTCCGCTGCCGCCCGCTCCCGACTTGGCATTGCCGACGGGAAGCTGGAGCGCCGACATGGTGCTGCTTGAGTCTTTGCGTATGTTGGCGACTCCGTGGTGATGATGATGGTGGTGGTGATGTGGCGCGCGGTAGAACTGCGGCTGATGATGTGGATAATGCGAGTTGAAGGGCTGTTGTTGCTGCAGTAAGAAGGCGGCGCGGTTATCGTTGCGGCAGTCGAGTTGTTCTATACCGAAATCAGACTTCGTGTAGCTGTCGTCTTCAATGTAGACATCAGAGGAGGAGCCTATGGGTAAAGTAAGAATTATAATAGGTATTATCACAGCCTGCTGGGCTTAACTCACCCAAAATCCAGGACTGCAGCGCGCGCACACGTGTATCCATATGTCCCGACACGCCAGTTGCGCTGCCGCCTAGTCCACTTAAGTCCAGTTCATCATCGTCCAGTATATCACCGCCGCCTATTCCAGCCAGCGCACTGCTACTACTCGCGCCACTGGACGCGTGATGCGGCTGATGTTCGTGGTGAATGGGCAGGAAGAGGCGATTTTGTTGCTTGACGCGTTCGTCATGTGTCTCAGAGCTGCGGTGACGCTGCAACCGTGTATTTTTATGGGCAGATGGCAACATGGCGCCGCCCGAGGAACTCGACATATTCGTTGTTGGGATAGCTGATGTTGCGTTTGTGGTGGTGAGCGTCAGCGTTGCTGTGGTAGAAAAGTTCGTTGTGGCAGTTCGATGTGCGACAGCAGCAGTAGACATTTTTGTTGCTGATGCTGATTTGCCCACCACACCGGCAGCTGTAGCTGTTTGGCCACTTTGTGGATGCAGGAAGGTTTCGTTGCGCGCTGTGGCAACACTTGTTGCAATAGTATCAGACTGATTGCGAATAAGTTTCGTGGCAATGCACGATTCGGCGCCCGCGTCTAGGCTACCCTGACGTTCGAGTCGACGACGCTGATGGCGGCGTTTAAATTCTTCCGATGATTTGCGTAGTAGGTGTGGCAAGTGGCGTGTGGTGGTGATGTTGCTGCTACTGCCGGGAGCGGCAGCGCTGCTATGGTGTGCGGTCCCGTCGCTGATGCAAGCGTTCAAATGTTCGCTTTCATGCTCCGGATAGACGCTGAGGCCGCCGGCGGCGGGAGCATTCGTGGAACGTATGGATTTCGTAACACTCAGCGAACCGGCGAGAGATTGTTGATCTTGCTGGCTGTTGCCAGAAATTACGGAGGGGGGATAGAATAACATTTCGATGGACTCGGAGCTGTTTTTGCGATGTACGTCCACTTTGAGGTCTGCAAGGAAAGACAAATTTCAGAGTTGTTTATAAAATTGATAAATTTCTTGTAACTCACCGATTATGCTATTCACATTCTCCATTGACATCATGCTGTTCTCTTCACTGGCCTCGTTGATGGCCTGCTCCACAGAATTGCGTGAGCCATCGTTGCGCATAACTTTCATTTCGATGCCCGTCTCATTCTCACTGCAAGCAAACAGGCAAATGAAGATAAACAACAGCACAAAATTCACCAAACAAACGCTTAATGAGCTAGAAACGGATGAGCTAGTTGCCAAACAAGACAGCAACACCACTTGGCGTGAACTTAAACGCGCTGCTTGTTGTTTATAAACAAACAACATGCCACGTTATCGCACATGGATATGTGTAGTGCGCCGTATACACACTCAAACGCACTCTTAATACAACACACCCGCTAGCAGGGTAGCGTAGAGTTCAGAATCCTATCTCACCTTTGCCTTTGCACACCTCCCGCACACCTCCAAGGATTTCGAGTATTAAACACAAATACTTTATAAACAAATTTGCATTTCATAAGCGCGTATGTGTGTGTGTTGGTATGTGGGTATGTGTTCACAATAATGCACGTGGCCTTGTGCAGTTAAAATGCTGCCTTACCAAACTGACTACCCATCAAACTACTGTCATATGCACGACGGAAGGCTGTGTTGACCTTGTAGGAAACCTTGTGTGACAAATTTCACCTTTAGGAAGGTACATATGTACGTACGTTTGTACATATATACAATTATCACCATAAAATGAATCGATGCATAAGGAGAGTGGTGAGAGGGGTGGTGATAAACACCTCAGCTCTTTAATATTCATTTCTTTGTTTAAATTTGTTTGAAACTCGTTTTAAAGTTTACTTGCTTAATTTTCTTTATTTGTTAGCTCTGTCATCCCATTTGAGAGCTTTGACCCGCCTCGTTTAGCTTTATCGCACTTGTTCCATTTTTTTCAGTGCGGTTATAATTGAAAACAAGATAATTGCGAAATATTGTACGCGAAGTGAGTCATGAGAAAGCAAGCTGTTGAAGAAATTTTGTAAATATTACAAAGCATATACATAGCTGATCACTGGGCAGTAGAGAGCGATGAAGGAAATTTTATTCTGTTTATCGCCGCGAATGCAGAAATCGGATCATAATTAAAGCATGAAGTATCAAAATTATAGAGAAAAATGTAGTGTATGCTGTTGTCTATTGTATCTAGATGCATACCATCAAAACACATTCATATACATATTGTCCTCCTAATCCGGGTGCATATTCTTAAATTATAAATTATAGATTCGAATAATTGATTCATTTTTCAATACTACGATACTAATCAACATTCTCTTCATGGGCATGCCTTTACCTTTCTCTCACACTCCCTAGCACAAATCTTCTTTCAACATCCCACTGTCTATTGTGGCAAACTCACCGCGTTTCAGTTTCCTTGGTTATTTTGAAAAATGGATTCTTGAGATTCGCCTCCGACATGGTTTGCGCTCGATCGTAGAGTCGATGCAGCGCCATATTGGCCAGCTTCACCAACAATATGGTGAGGCTTGTGAGCGCACAGTAAATACACCATGTTAGCAAAGTACTTGGGAAATACTGCAAAAACAAAGAGTACACATTAAAACAAATAAGTGTGAATTGATTAAGCGAATGCGGCAATAAGTTGTGCGACCCACAGTAGCAGCGGCGTCAGTAGCAGCTAAAGGTGTGACAGGCGCTTTGCCCTAGTGCGTCGCGACCGCATTGGCATGCAAGTAGTTAACAGCCGGCAAGATTTTTTTTTTTTTTTTTTGTAAATTTCTTTTGATTATCGTTGATGAATAGCATTTTGCCAATGACGCAAAATGCTGCCTTGATGCCGATTTAGTTGCTATCTGCTGCTTGCTGCTGCGTCGGCGCTACTCCACTTCAATGCCAATCGAATAAGACTTACCAAATAGGCGACAAATGGTGAGCACAGCAGATATAGCCATAAATAGAGGTGGACTACATTACAGAAGACGCCCTGATGCGGATCGTAGAACCAGCCACCGGTCAGCGAGGCCCACACGCCCTGGCGTAATATCTCCAAGGTTTGTGAACCCATGGCAAGCTAACAGACATCTCCTATACAGCCTGCTGCCAAAGTGCAGTGGCGGCGACAGCGGCGTACACCTTGCGCGTGCCAAACAATATGCACACGTACATGCGAAAGCGTGCGATGGCTGTGAATGGGATGGGTAATGTGATGATGGTACGACGTAGTGTTCTCTGAACGTGTGGTTACGACACAGGTGCGCAGCGCCGGCAGGGTTTCGGGACTGGTACGGGTTGTGGGATCTGATTGACGACGTTGCAAAGAGGCACAACACGATGCTGGTGTCGAGGACGAGTACTCAGTGAAGTGATTGGGCTTACCTTGAAGTTTTCACGGGCAAAAATGGAATGCGTTAAACGCGCAATTGCAATGTAGTTTTTTTGCTGTACAATGGAAACATGAAGCGTATGTGATTTTTTAACTGCAATCGAAATTCCAACGGCTGACCACCCACCGCTTACGTTTTTTTTCCACAATCAAAAATTTGGTTTGCCCCAACTGCACTCTAATGTAAGGTGAACCTTTCATAAGTACTACGCTTCCTTATTTTTTGCAGTTTTCACTTCATTGCCTGGAAAAAATATCAGCACTAGCTTTTTTATTGTGTGGCCTTTACTTGCTACACATTTTCCCGTACCTTGCTGCGTTTTCTTCACTTATGTATTTTTTTTTTTACTTTGCACTTACGGATGCAGCTGCTCCTTCAAGGTTTCAGCTTATTTTGTATCACTTTTTGCACTTTGATCCATATCTATAGCGATTTCCGATACGCAAGTGGATGATATCAATGATCAATTAATTGATTGGGCAATTAATTGCTGAACTCAATTGAAAGATTTTGATTTTTTCGCGTGAAAATTTCTTTTATTTTCTTCGAATAAATGAAATGTCAAAATCAGTCCGGAACTGCACTACCAGCCGCTGTTGTGCGCTGCTATGCCGACTTTGTTGCGATTTTTCAATTTTGCTGTCATCCTAATCGGTTTTGGATTCGGGACGAAACGCACTACCGGAATCGTTTTGGGACAATACCGAATTGCGTGCGGGAAAATTGTACGAAATTCATTTCTTCTTAAAAACAATTTTTACTTTTAAAATTACGTATAAAAATATTTAAAAAATCCATAAAACAAAGAATAAGTAAAAAATGAGATAGTTTTAACTAAAAAAGACTTGTAACTAAAAAATATGTTTTCATATATAAATTAATTAAGTTTCAATGGAATATCTGTCAAAAAAGCTCCAACTAACTTTAGAGTCGACTTTTTTTTACAAAAGGCCATTATGCCGCTCTCAATAAAACGGTTAAGAAAAAAATTGTCATTATTAGGCCAGTATGCAGCTCTCAAAAAAACGGCCAAGAACAAGTGTACAAGGAATTTTGACATCTGATACTTAACAGCCTGCGACAACCTCTTGCCTCACTGTTTCCTAAATAAATAATAAATAAGGGGCATATATTTCTGTTGCAAAAATGGGTTACCTTGTGGTCTTTTTTCACAAAAACCTTTAGAAAGTCGCAGTAGAAAGCGTAGCAAACTTCTTAAAAACTGCGTACTGCCTTATACGGTGTTCACATGAGGCGAATTTCCAAGCAATTTTAGAGGCGATTAAATAAATCAAATGTTGGTTGCCCCCCAACTTCACCGAATTAAGGAAAGATTACTCAAGAACATTTCTTAGCCATATCTTGTACGTCATCAGAGCCAATGATGCTGCTTCTTCACATGGTTCAAAACTGTCGTTCAAAATGTGGCTGATAGCTGCTTGTTCTTCATTAGAAATGGATTACAATAGTGTAAAACGTAAATTACATGAGGTATGAATAGGTATGAAATTGATTTGAGAGAATTAATTTTTTTCCTAAAAATTATTTTTTATTAACAAAACCTTACAACAACGAATAAGTGAAGAAATTAAATGTATTTAACTTAAATATATTTTTTATAAAAATATTTAAATAGCAAAACTGTAATATAAAACATAATTATCCTATCGAATTACACACTTTTCTTTTTTAAACATTAATTTGAGGTTCAGAAATTTTATAAAACTATATCTATAACCAATTTTGTACTAAAAATATTTTTCGTGCATCGTTAGCCAAAGTTTTTAATACCTTAAAATTTTATTAATTAAAATATTTTAAACCTACATCACTTCATGGCTCTTCTGGATGCTCTTCGCTTCCCCTTTTTCACATTCAACTCTCGTGGCTCTCCTCTTTGTGCTCATATTGATGGTGGTGGTGTATATGCTCTTCCTCCTCTTCTATAATTGGATGCACATGCTCGTGCTTCTCCTCGTGATGATGCTTATGTTCGTGAGAGATATGTTCCTTGTGTATGATCGGATGATGTTCCTCGTGTATGACTTTCTCTTCCTTGATGACAATCGGTTTGTGATGATGATGTATATGCTTGATCACGGTGTGCGTGTGCTTTTCAACTTTCTTGTGAATTGGCACGTGAATAGTGATCTTCTTCTTTTTGTGCTGACTGCTGAGGAGTTGGAAAGAGCGAAATAAGAGAGAAATGAGTATAAAAACGGAGCAATTCGAGAAAATAAACGCAATTTATATTCAGAATTCAGCGAAAAAACAAGGGAGTAGCTTAATTGATGGAGAGGGAAACAGAGTAGAGTGCAAATTAAAAATGAGAGTATTTGAGCTCAAAATTCGTGAGTTTGTGTGTGAATGATCCAAAGAGTGAGCGAACGAGCTACTAAGTGAAGTAGAGGGCGAGTGATTGAGTAAGTTAGTTAGTGAGTGAGTCAGAGTGCCAATGAGTGGTTTTTCGGGTACGTCTGCGACCTCCAAATTGTCAGCAAATGAAATGAGTAAATTTCTTAGGAAAACCGCACGCTTTCAAGAGGTCCTCCATTTAACCAACTTCCATTCCCTCGCACTCACCCGGCATCCGCGCTTTGTGTGCAAAACAAAAGGAGCAACACGCCTACTAAGATGATCACTTTGAGAAGCTGCAGGGAAAAGATTTCGAGGCAAAAATTAATATTTTTTTCTATGGGATCGGATATCCCATCGAAAGTTCTCCACTCACCAAGCGTTTTCGATTCATTTTCTTTTCTAAAACTGTAACACTTGCACGAACAGGAAGAAGAAATTTATTTCGCCTTTTGCACGCCCGCCGGTGATACGCACACTTTGCAATGAGACTATGAAATGAGTGTTGCCCCAATTGGCTAAGAGACTTTTATAACATGCAAACAGCAATGCGGATAATTTCGAATAACGGTGAAGCACATAGCGGGACGACAGGGGGCTGCTTCTAAAGTGGAACGCCAGAAAACATGGAATTCGAACGATTTTCGCTTCCTTCACACAACTTGCATGCAATGGAAACGCCAGCGCGCGCGCCTGTGTGTGAAGCTTTGGCGCCAGCACTAACAGCTGTTGGCTTACAACGTAATCATTGCGGCGCATGCGCAGCCGAGCGAAACAGTGCTATGGGAGCTGTGGCAATAAAGAAAAAAAAAACGCAACGACGCTGGTGGGTGTATTTCGAGCTGCGAATTTTCACATTTTTGCTGGGCTTATCATTTTTTTGCAATTTGGAAAATTATCTTCTTTTATTTAATTTCCCTGCGCACAACTAATGTTGGTTTTTAAATTCACTACTTCATTTAAATGCGTTTTTCTTGTTTTTTTTTTGTTTGGTTTTTCTTTTTCGTTTTTTTCCTTTTGTCTTTCCAAGCGGAAGCCTATAAGCCTAGCTGAAAGTCAGTCAGCGGAAGTGCTTTTTGTTAAATAATTAAATTAAATTGTAAACGGAACAAAAAATTATCAAAAGACGTTGGAAAAAAGAAAAGAAACATACAGAAAAGGGGCGGCATGCAGTAAGTTTGTAGCTGCGAATATTTTACACCAAATTTAATATTTAGTGTAGCAATAACAGACAAACTAATGGAAATTAATCGAAAAACATTTATGCATTTTGTCGACAATTTTGTTAGTGTCTGAATAAGACTTAATTATGTTTCATTAATTATGAAATAAAAGTTAAATCAAATTTCGTATGGCTTCAAGCTGCAATGGCGCAAGTTTCTCGAACACTGGAAAGAAAAGAGAAAAAAGTTCCAGTCCGTTAGTGCTACACTGGCTTTAGAAAAAAAAGACGAATTATCTGTAGAAGGCTTAGAAGTTAGGGTCCATAAAAACTGGTCAGGGCAAGAAATAAACTCCTACTCAAATTTGTACTCGCACACTTGCGTTCGAATGCTTTCTGTTTTTTTGTTTTTTTCGTATTCGCAAACGTCTTCGCATCAAATGTAAGTGGTGTTGGTCGGCCAAGAGGGCTGAAATGTATATCGAGCCCTAACCGTCAAGAAAATGTAACGCATCTAGATGCACTAGCAACATCGCTGCATCAAAAATAACATTTTGAAAAACACGTCGTTTACATCTTTATGGTAAATTTTTTTTTTCTCACTTCCTCACTTCTTTTAATTTCAACCGCAACAAATATTAAATTAATCTCTTATACAAATTTTTCTACAGCCACTTAAATTCATTGCTCTTTTATTACGCCATGCAATAGCATCAATTTCAAGGTTAAGTAATCGCATTACACACATGCACAGATGCACTTGTACTCATATGAAATGTGGCACAAGTACTCAAACACTGCAGTAACGAGCGCAAGTTTGCGTCTTAAGTCTTTTGTTTACATCTCTCAAAAAACTGCTGGTAATGGCAGAAAGAAAGGCCAACTTCCAAAAAAATATTCAACACCCTACCAGCTTTATCGCTCACTGCGGGCATGTACGTACTACAATAATTGTGTGCGCAAATGGTGTACAAGAAAAAAATAACCAAAAAAAAAAAAACACAAAAATTAAAATCTCATATTTTCCAAGCATCAACAAATTGGCGTTCATTCAATTACTTGTTGGCTGGCGAGAATAATTAGCCTTACAAACGTCTACTAACAGCTACTGAAACTCTATGGGAGAACGATGCAGCAAGGTGAGGAGAGAAAGAAAAGAAATAAATCTACTGCTGTTGCGTGCAACAATGCCGCCATACACTTCATTGAGTTCTTCTTGGCGAAACTGGCGATTGTAGTACAAAATGCTTGGGTAGACGTACGGGTAGATGGACAGACAACTTGTCAAAACTGGACATCAATCAAAAGACAAGAACAACAAGTGGTTGGTTGAGCTGTTAGCTTGTTTTTGTTGTTATAATTCTTGTTGCTGTATTACGAGTATTAAGCATGTTGAAGTGTTGGCTGAAAAAGCAGAGAAACGACTTTTGCGGAGAAAAAAAAATACAAATAAAACAAAAATAAAATTTTAGTAAATAATTTTCTTTCCGCTGCGCTTGGGTTATGGTGCTTTTGTGGGCTTACTTTAGCAGCAAGTTATTGTAGATTTGACAGTTTTTTTTTTTGAATAGAAAATTGAAGAAGTTTGATTTAAAGGCCACTCTTAAAAAAAAAATCTTTAAAGTACATAGAGATAGATAAACGAAAGAGTAAGCCAAGGAAAGCACAAGCAAATAATGAGGACCCAATGGTTGTGGAATTAGCCACTCAGTCCTAATCAACAAAGTGTTCAACTTTTTACTGGAAAGACAGTTTCGGTAAATTTTTCTGTTCTAAATGATCATTGCCGCGCTGAAGTGATGCTTTTTGGTCAGTGACGTTGCGCCGAGTCAGTCGTGATTGTGGACTGAGCACAAAACGTGCTGGCTCTACATCAATAGGGACTCATGAAAAAAAAAAATAATAATAATTGAAAAATGAGTTTGAGCTCAGAAAGTTCGTATTAACTCTCCCCATGGATTTATAATGCAATATTAAGCTCTAAACACTTATTTAAGTTTTTCACGGAACAAATGCAGCATTTTTTAAATTTTTCTTAAGTTTCAAATAAAACTGGATTGCAAATAATTATCCTGAAAACAACGAAGAAATTCTTGTATGGGGAAGAGTTGGTATGGACTTCCTGAGCTCAAAAGCAGTTTCCTAACTTTTTTAAGGGCAACGAAATATGTAAAATTTTAGTATTTTCCAACCATGGTAGCGACCCCTAAAAATTATTTAAAAACCTGTAAATTTTCTTAGATGCCTTTACTCTGTACCCTTTTATACTCATTGTATACTTATAGGTATAGTATAAGCAATTTTTTTATCAGTATACTAGCGTGGGCAGAAAATCCGCCAATCCGTCAATATCTTAGGCCCGCCCATGTCCATCAAAGTTCAAAGTGCTCAAAAAATAGAAATTAATAAATAAACAAATAAATAAATTTTTTTACTAAAATTGTAATTATCTTCGAAGTATTAGACCTACATAATTTGGTATATATTTATTTTTTGTAGAGAATCGAAGTAAGCTAAGAAACAAGCCTTTTCTATATCTCCTGAAATACAAAATATGTGCATACATATGTATCTGTCAAAGAGATATGCTAATAAATAAATCTCTAAACAAACTAATAAATAGAATTAAGTATACTCGTATTGAAAGAAAATATACCAATGCACTCATGTCTTACAAATTCTGAACCACTTGACAAAAAATAATAAAAAAAAACACTTTAAAAACTCAAATAAAATACAAGAATCCCCAGCAAAAATGATTGATGACCCAACTGCAGACACACTAGCTCTGACGCTGGCACACATACCGGCATTTGATCGTTCAATTTGACCCAGTATTAGACATAATTAAAAATAATTTGTGGCATCCCGCATGCAACATGGACAGAAGAAGCAGCGAGAGCAACAAGTAAACAGCAAAGATCACTTCAAAGTTGAAACAAACAAGAAGACGAGCAGGTGGAGTGTATGATCACTGAAAAGCCGGCACGCAATTGCGCTCCACCAAAAAAAATATGTACATTAGACCATACCAACTGAAAAGCGAAACAAAAAAAAAACGTTCGCTGTACACACCTGAGTCAAACATATTTTTGCAGCCTCTTTGGTGACATTTTCGAATATAAAACTTTCTGCGGGTTAGTTGAGGTCAATGAAATTTTGAAAAATAAAAAAATTGTTGTGAATTTTTGTTTTTCCAAATTGCCTTGCGAAAATTCTTTAGATTCAAGGATGTGCGGCGAATTTTTTTTTCTGGTACGCCCTAATGTACATACTATACATACGTGTACCACAAATTCCACCTTAAGGTATTCAGTCAAACTTGAAAATTATGCAAGTACAGCGCTGGAAAATACTGCCAGGTATTGTGGCTAAAACAACGGTAAAAATTGGGTGACTAATATGCCTGAAGTAAAAATATTTGAAATAGTTCTACAACTTTCATCTGTTCGCTATTCAAATTTCTTTTCACCAAAAAAATATGTTTTCTTGCCTGCCACACATGCACACAGAGTTAGGCACATCGATCACTAGGTTTCACAAGCTATTAGAATAGTCATTCATCTTTGCAGTAAATCTTCTCCACAGCGAAAAGCAAACTTTATTGAGTCAGCCGAGCGGACGCGTGTTTGGTTTTTTTCTCTTTATTTCCTCTTCACTTTTTGACACC